CATGAAAGCTGGTTGGAATTTGCATGTTGGGTTGCAGGGGATTAGAAGCATTTTGTAGGCACCTTGAGGGGCCTACCAATAAAAATAGCTAGGCTTTAAAAAAGTCTCTTCAGGTACCCTTTAAGCCCCAGCAACTGACACATCAAGTGCAACCTTTACTGAAAGTACAACTAAATGCATCTGTAAGGGAGTCTAAAAGAAGTACCAAATCCACTTACTATGTGATGCACAAGCCTCATACAGAAAGAGCAGATCACAGTGGGAGGGCTTCAGCAAAAAAGTCAGGGCTGTCAATCCAGAAATAATTGGGCTGTATTAGGTGTGGCCAGCTGCTGATTGACAAGCTACAGGCTTATGCATTGACAGTGGCAATGCTGATATCAGTGCCTCGTTCAACATTTTTTCATCCAACTGTAGAGCAAACAGATACAGTCTACATGAGGGTGGTAACTTTACTCTGAATTCAGGAGCAGAGCAGGATCATTGCCATCCCATCACAGGAAGCTGCAATTGGTGTGAACGGTCAACAGGTATTTGTCAGACTTTGCAGGGGACTAAGAGCAAAACGTAAGTGCAGATGCAGTTATCATTAAATGCTGCAGCACATATTGTAACAATGTCTACAAGGCTATGTAATATTCTACATAGATTATAAGGAGACATGTATGTAAATGTAAATGCAATAATGATTAAAGACCTACTCTAGCTAAAGTTTTTGTGAATTTTGTAGGGAAGTTAGAGCCTCTTTTTTAATGCCGTTTCTGTCCTTGTCAAGATTTTCCCTCACTTTCTGTTCAGCCTAATACATATCACATGGACAGCAAGGAAATATCTCCACTGGGGACACAAACAATTAAAAAAACCTGATGGAGCTTCCAACACCCTGTCCAAAATCTAAAGAACAGTTTTGTTCTGGGTTGGGCTTTGAGGATAATAAAATTCACTGTGGAGTCCTATGACTTCTACAAATGTGCTTGACCTTCATATTGTAAATTATTCCTCAATGAAGCCTAACATATTTATCCTTTATTGCAGAGGTTATATCATTTTTATCACCAGCTTTGATAGGCTCCTGAAACTTTAGATATTCAATATATTGTGAATGCTATTAAAAGTTTAGTCAGACCAGCTTGTGTTTTGAGAAGTGTTGGGCTTAAACAGCCTCAAAGAAACACCTCAGTATGATTTCTTAAGTATGTTCTAAGACTTCTTCAGTATGTAAATTTTTTCATTAGGGAGTTTTATAAACCCTACAAGGGGAAAAACCTATGTAGCAAAATATCTCTGCCCTTAAGTTCCTTGATGCATGCTTTTTGCTCACAGCCTTTCATTTATAATAAGCCTTTCTAGATGCTCTCTTCCCTATTACTGTATATTGGGTGGCTTTGTTCCCTTGAGGGGTCCCCTGGAGCCATTCTTATGTGTGTGCCCATCCAGGAATACATCTTTCTACACTGGCAGCTCCATAGCCCTCCATTCAAAGCCATGCCACCCCCCTGCTACTCCCCCAATGTCTTTGAGGAGACAGCACTGTGTATAGGAGTAGGTTTGTGATGATGTGAAGTGTACAATTTGCTCTCACCTGAAAGTTCTGGGAAGCAGTGCTGAGGGATACAGAGCGAGGTGATTTTATAACATCAAGTGCGAATGAGTAAGGATGTATTCAGAAAACAATCTTAATGAAGTTAGCTACTGTGGTGGACCAAAATAGAAAAGTGTACGTAGTCAAAAGAGTTTAATACTACTTTCAAAATCTGAATTTTATGGCAACAAAATGCTAAACTGAATACAGTTGCATTATATATTTTTTCCCTTTTTCACTTAAAACTTCTTTAAAAATATGTACTGCGGTAGAAATAAGAGATTTGTGAATCACTTTTTAAAGGCCCAATATAAAAATATCTTCACAAGACCATCTGCAGAGAGCTGATTTCTTGCATTCTTTGAAGAGCAGCTATGTTCTACTTACATGACAAAAATAACATCACAGTATTTTCTTGGAATCGTATTTATCTGAATAAAATGTTGAATGCAAATTTTTTAGTAAATAGCGAATCTACTCGTGAATCTACTCGTGAATCCTTTCTGCAGTCCCTACTTTGTGGAAACGCAACATAAGCTTGTGGTAACAATTTATTTGCACATTTTACCATGGAAATGTGATATGAGTTTTACGTAGCTCTGGAGCCGCAAAGATATGAGGTCACAGGGCGGCACAATAAATATGGTCTAGGGAAAGACAAAACTGAATTTTAATTCTACCCGGTGTATACACATATTTGTGTGCCTTTCCCTGCTGCAGCCTTGTAAACAATAACATGAATCAAATTTAAAGATTCACATTTAAGCATTTGTAATCTTCTTTTTATCTAATATGGTAGGGTTCTACAAAACTGGCATCCTGGAGCTTTCCTATGTATCATGGATCTTAAAATAAACCTTTTCTGAGTAAAACATGGTGGCTTCCATTGCTGACCTCCTTCAAAATATGCTGAAGGAAAAGCAAGAATGCTGTTTTTGAGTCAGCAACTGAAAGTATTAAAGCCAAAAGGTCATCTTGACCACCAGGCAACTAGGCAATTTGTAGAATGAGTAACAGTGGCAATGAAAAGTCAGCAATGGCAACCTCCAGGTTTCTCTCAGGAAAAGCCTCCTTTAAAAATAGCATACAAAAGAATACAAAACTAATTCCATAAATTGTTTTCTTCATCTTTAAGTGACACTAAACTCAAGAGTTACATCTTAAAAATGCATTCAAGTACCCTATTATTAAAAATGTAGCTTATTTTTGTATCACTCGGTTATAGATCCTCAAATCATCTCTGAATTGGTGCAGACACTGTCTTTCCTTCCGGAGGGTGGCTACCGTATTTGCCGGCGTATAAGACGTGTTTTTAGACTTAAAAACATCCCCCAAAAATCGGGGGTCGTCTTATACGCCGGGTATGGATGTGCTGTAATACTGTATGTACGATAGCTTCGGCTACATACAGTATACCGCGCTGAGCCAATCACGGCAGGCTTTGTATTAATGAATACAAAGCCTGCCGTGATTGGCTCAGCGCGGTATACTGTATGTAGCCGAAGCTACCGTACATACAGTATTACCTCACAGCCAGTGGGCTGACAGATTAGCCTCCCTGGCGGTCTGATGATTTTATTTTTATTTTTTGTTCTATTTTATTTTTTCATTTTTTTTACCTTTAAACTTGCCGCCGGTTCCGCCCCCCTGCGACGCGGGCGCTCGCAAGGGACGGAACCCAGAAGACGGAGGACACAGCGGGGATCGTGGGCAATGTAAGAGACTGTAATCCCGAGTGTGGCTCGGTGTTACCACTTATGGTACTGAAAATTAACCCCGAGCCACACTCGGGAATACCGCCATGGAGGTTAGTGGGTGTATTTAAACATTATTTTGGGCTATACTCGTCTTATACGACAAGTATAACCCAATACCTATGTTTTAAAAGAAAAAGTAGGGGGTCGTCTTATACGCCCAGTCGCCTTATACGGCGGCAAATATGGTACTTTGTTCCTCATAGTCCCTGTGTGTTGTAAAATAGGCACCGCTCCAAGCTCACTCCTTTGATGGCCACGATCCCACGTTTAGTTTACTGATTTGTATTGAGATTGTAGCCCATCACAGGAGTGAGCTTGTAGCCATTGCTACAACACACACAGGGACCATGGGCAACAAATGTAGCCACCCTCAAGAAGAAAGGACCATGTCAACACCAGTTGAGAGATGATTTGAGTGATATACAAATAAGATACATGTTTGTTCATAGTTAAGGTGCTTGAATTAATTTTTAAGATTTAACTCCTGAGTTTAGTGTCACTTTAAGGAAGCTGTGCAGTTTATAAGGGTCAGACCCACCTGAAAATTGTGTTACAGTTTATAGTGGACTTCAGTGTATTGAATTACCCACCAGCAAGCACAGATGTACCTTGTAGCATGTTTAAAGGGAAGCTATAAAACGTTTGCCTTTATTTATGAAATATATGTGATTGTAGTCATCTTACGATATCTAAGCTTATCAATATGTGTTAATATTTTTAAAATGTTCCTTATATGTATAGTTTATAATGATATCTGTGCATGAGGGCAGCCTATCTGCTCATTATATATACAGGTTCTTCTTCCTTCTTAGTAGTGATGCTCAGTAGCTATAATTTACCAGTCTAGCCACTGGGTGAAAACAATGCACTGTTTATAATATCTCTGTGATATGTCTCCATGATTATCTCCATGATGTTAAGAAACTCAGGTAAAATACAGATAAAGGGAAAATCTATAAATTTGTTTATGTAATGCAGTAATGAAAATACAGTGCAGCAAGCATGTAAAATTGAAAAGTCGCATTAAATATTACTTTAAGGTTAACATTTCAATAATAGCTCAACAGATACACTGTCTGAAAAAAAACCTTGGTGTGGCCGCTTTCTATTCCAAACATATCAGAAAAAAGTAGGTACATTTTCTTTTAATTCCACACCAGCTTCTTTTTCTTCTTGGGTACAATGATGGCAGGCTATCCTCTCCAGGATACTCTGCCTTCTCTATTATAGAAGAAAAATAGGGTGTGCAAATCTCCCTGGTAGATTTTTCATAATATAAAAGCAAGAGCAGTTCCCAGAAACAAGAATGCGATACCACCCATGTACCCGAGAATTATAAAAAGCAGCTAGGTTATACTACTAATAGGTATTCAACCAATAACAAAATATAATTTGTGGATGGACTAACTCATTAAAAGAAGCAAAAACTCTTTGTCCAAGAAACTCCAAGAATTTCCAATTTTGTTGTTTGCTCACAGACCTAGTCACAAAGCACTTGTAGTAATTGTATGGAGCACATTTAATCTATTTTAGGCAATTCAATCCTTAAGTTCTTCCATATGAACCTTCCCATCCTAAGCTGAAATCCCACCAACAGCCTCACAGAGCATATCTACAAGGATTCAACTTAAAAACATGAAGTGGAAATGCTACCAGATAAGCTCTTTGGAAACAGAAAGACTTATTTATGCAAAGTGCATGCTCTCTGTACTTCTTTTTTACTGATTCAAAAATGACCCTTAATTTGTTTTACCTCATGGCTTTGCAACAACGTATCACAAACAGCAAAGAATCCCTTGACCAGACAATGTATAATTTCCACAAGTATGACTTAAAAATACCGGATCAAAGGCTTTTAAGAAATAGGTATCTTTGTAGAAAGTTCTTGTTTGAAATAACTATAACCTAGTATAATTATTCTAAAGAAAACAATGCCATCATTTGTAGACACTTGTCTTGTGCAGTATCAAGTTTTCGGATAGTTTGGTGGCCTATTGGGAAACTTGTGCTGGGTTCTCCGATTTGGTTTCTTGATTTACAGGTGGTTTGCTGTTCCAGGGGCTATTGTTTCCCAGTGCAGGAGAGTTGTTGAAGTCTTCTTCATCATCCATACCATTAGCGGCATCATATTGTGTGTTTTCTAGTCTAGTGATAAGCCTTTCATCTTCGTCTCCAAATTCGCCTCCCATCAATGTTGGTTCTCCTACCACCATCACATCCTGTGAACAGCACAGACCATTATTATGTGGGTACCTTGAGGAAAAACAAAAAAACTACCGATGACTGAATGCGGGAGTGGAAGAATACTGACTTATAAAAGTAGAAAGGCATTTAAAATGTAAAAAAAATAAGGTTTCATTTTAATAGGGTCTCTGACCAAAAGCATGAAGCTCTCAGTTTTTACATTCAGCATTGGCGTGACTATGACTCACACTGCCCACACAGCTCTTACAGTCATATATTGCTCACAGTAAAGAAGCCGCCTGCTATTAAAGACAACTATCTTGCATTATGCTGTGATTTTACATATACATTCATAGTTAACTGTGTATGCTTTTACCAGCTTTTTCCAAGCCAGTATGATCAGTGCCTTACACCACCCTGATAGAACCCTTTTATGTTTTAAACAGTTGTTCAGCAAGCTGTATATTTATAGAATTCTAACTTATGACAGAGTCCCATTGTGCCATTCTTTTGAAAGTTCCATTGGAGTCCCTTCCTGGCTTCAGGTTTCAGAAAGACACTTTGGTAATGGAACAACACACATACACCTTATAGAAGGCGTTATAAAATCCAGTGCCATGAATAATAAAGCAAAAGAAGAGTTGTTGTATGTAAGCATAATAAGCTACTATGAACAACAGCTCCATATTCACTTGACTTTGTTTACTACTCTTTTTATAATTCAGCCCCTGTGTCAACATGGCCCTCACTCCTTCCTACTCCACCTTAAATCTCTGGTCCTGTCTTGTATCTTACTACCAGTCCTGATCTCAGCCTGTCCCTGGTAAATATTTTTGTCATATCCTCCATTGTCAGTCAGTACTTCTGCTCTGTACTTGGGGCCCTCCTGTGACATTATACAGTTAACGTATATAGTTTAAGCACTGGGGGCATCCGAGTACCGGTAGGGGCACTTACCTTAAGAGCAAAGGGCTGCTAAAGATGAATTCACTGGTATCTATTTACTCCCACTGTGAGTGTCTGCGTCTGGTCCTGACAGGGGCAAACTAATTCTGGAAACAATTTTGTTACTTGATTCTTAAGCTCCGTTGGAGCTCTAAAAGGTATCTGACCTGCTCGCAGAGACCTCTAGGTGCACATGTTATAGTTGAGCACAGTTTTACTTTAGAGAAACATTCTGGGCAGAGAAATCTTTGACTAATAGGTCATCTTAAATTGGCAAGTGCACCCAATGTTGAGTAGAAACTGGCACATAGTTGAAGGTAAATGTTTACCAGAGATACTGCTTCTAAGTGTAAAGTGTATTTCTGCTTCTACAGTCAAATTTGAGAAACCCCAGCTATATGCTCCCATTCACACAGCATGCAAAATAATAATAAAAAAAGAAAATAAAAAAATATTTCTTACCTTTATAGTTGTTGTGGAGAAGATTTATACATAAGACACTATAGGCAGCGTGAAATTGTTCAGAATAGCTTGCAAAGTGCAATTAGGGGACAGATTGAGGGAGAGTTCTTTTTTAAAGTACCACCCAATCATTTAACCCCTGTTAGGACAGTGTGCACATTTAGTTTACAGCTGATAATGAGACCTGCCAGTACAGTACAGACAGGGTTAATTATGATCAACATAACTTCTCAACCCCTTCCCTAACATTATGTAGAAAGAGAAAGCTATGTAGAATTTGTAAGCAAGAAAGAAGCAAATAAAAAAGTTAAGCAAAAATGTTTTTATTAATTTTTTCTAAGTTATGCTATATGAATGGGAACATGTAACACATATAAAGTAGGTGTTATCCCAATTTGGCTGCAAAAGTGAAAAAATACACTTTAAGCCCAGCCGAGATGCAGCTCACTTTTCTGCTAAGCTATGGCAGCACTACCCTGTGCTGGGTCGTCTAGACTGGAGAATGTAGCCAGAATTACTAAGGGGTAATTATTTGTTTTGTAATTTTTAAGATAAAGTGGCGGGTGGTTGACCCTCCAGACATCTACCCAAAGCTGGATACCCCTGTTACAGTCAGTATTCCCTTTACATATACCTTGCAAAAAATATAGCAGGCACAAGAGAAAAAAATATATTTTCCAATACAAAACCATTCAATATTCCATGATAATTCCACTAATTTGTTAATAATTTAAAAATAAACATATAATCATAAATGATTGTTTAAGGTGCAGGACTTGCCTGCTGCAGGGGAATTAACATGGAATATTGACTGGTTTGGCATAACAGGCCCATAATTTTGCCTGGGCCTATTACTTACCAAACCGTTCCGTATTCCACGATAATTCCTCCTGACCCGTGTCTTATCTCCTATGCATTTTTTTGTAGGGTTGAGCTGTAAATATAGGAGGATTCATTAAAGGAGACATTCAAATGCAAGTGATACATTTGCAGTTAAAACATACATTTACACTTAGAATGCAATTACAAAACTTACTAAAGATTTTAAAAGCTTAATCGAATCAACAACAAATGTCCTCTATAGGTTGGACTCGATGGACCTGTGTCTTTTTTCAACCTGACTAACTATGTAACTATGTCCTATATATAGTATTTAATGATAGCTCTAAATGGGCAGCTAGACATAAACTGTAGGCATGCTGTGCTTATTACTATATATACCGTTGATCATGATTTGTGTGCTTGGAATAAAAATTGTGAAAGTGGCATTGAAAAACAAACTCACTGCAGCTCAGGTACCACACAGTCAGGAACAAAAACTCTTCCTGGTAAATAATTTTCTCAATATTCAGCAAGGTTGCAGAATAAGATAAAAGGTCAGTCCACCCAAAGCTGATATCTCTGTTATAGATAGATACTTTATATTCAAACCCCCTGATCATTTCCTATATCTCTTAGGGGCACTATTGGGGAATTCTTTGAATTCAGTGCCTGGGTTTGCATACCTGCTGTGGCCATTATGAGGCATTCCAACTCCCTCTGTTAAATATTTTATAATATTGATATTCCTTAATTGAACTTAGGCCACTTTCACACAGTGTTCTGATCAGGCCCACCTGCCAGTTTTTTTTAGATGGGCCTGATCAGAAGCTCAATGTTAGTCTATGGGCAGTCAGACTTAAGTGGGCCCATTTACATCCAATTACCGCTGAGTTCGTCTAGGTCTGAAAGAAAATACAGAACAGAATTCCATTTTGGCAGACCTGAACAGAACGGGTCAGAGGTGATCAGTATGTAAACAGACATGCCACTTACATTCGACTGCCTTTAGACCTAACATGGGTCCAGTAAGTTCAGTTTTTCCTCCATTGCAAGACGGAGGAAAAGACTGAATGGAAACTTACGTTGCAAGAGTGACATCTATGTCATACTGCTCCAATCAGCGGGGGATCTATGCATGGAGTCCCTGCTGATCGTAGCAAACACTGTCCACGTGAGAGGGGCCTTAGCTTGGCCATCTGAACAAATGATAATTTATTATTATTAATATAACTGTTTATTATTATTGTAAATATTATTATTATTATTATGATGATACAGCCTGTATATAGTGCCAGGTTTGCACAAATGTGGGTTTATACGCATGCAAAACTTATTTGGTGGCTATGCAATTTTGGAAAAGCCAGCAAAACACTAAAAAGTACTTTCTAACTTCTCTCACTCTAACCCTATTATTAGTGTAGCAATGCTAGTGTAGCAATACAAGTGAATGGAGGCTGCAGTATCAGTGCACACAAAGATTAAAGATTAAATTGAGCATGACATTGAACTGATTTTTTCATGATGTGAGGGGACTCTGATGTGAAAGGCTGAATTCTGATGTTAAAATGGGGGGGGGGACTCTAATGTAAAGGGGGGTCCAGATATGAAGGTGAGACTCTAATGTGAAGGCGAATCCCGTTCTTTCTGCTTTTGCATTAGGTTCCCCCTTAAAATCCATACCAGACCACTATCTGGGATATGGGTCAAATATGGATTTTGAAGAGGCTGCGTGTCATTTTAAAATTTTGCCACACCTGAAAACATTTTGCCATACCTGAATACCCGAGAAAAGTTGGCTTAAGTAATTACGAAGACCTAACAGCCTTTAATAACTGGGGAGAAAAAAAGAACCACAAATGTGGTCTCTGGGCTAAGCAGAATGTTTGAAACTTTTGGTGATAGTTTACTATGAGAGTGCCAGTAACAATTTCTTTATATTATTAGCAATTTAAAGAAGACTCTATGAAAATGTTCAATTTTGGAGACCTGAAGCCACTTCTAAAACGACAACAGCTCATATGTCACGTTACGAAGTGTTTTAATCTGTATTTTTCTTTTCTTTTTTAAGATATGTATGTTAATGTGATCAGCCTAATATAAATAAAGTTTTAGGAGTCTTGTTTCTGTTTTTAAATATTTAGGTACATGGAGCCAGTGGCGGAACAATCGCTATAGCGACCCAGACAGCCGCTATGGGGCCCGGGGCACAGGGGGGCCCAGCCAGGACGAGGAACAAAGGGGTCCCCCTGATGTCGTGCGGGCCACCTGGGTCGCTACGGCATCTCAGGCTGCTGGCTGTCACTGGCGGCCGATAGGAACGTCAGTGATCTGTGCAGCGGTGCATTTCTCCTCACAGCCACTGCTGAGTCAGTGACAGCCAGCAGCTGTGGAGGAGGAGGCTGGGCTCGGCGTTGGTAGCGGAGGAGAAGGTGGGGCGCAGGGATGGAGGAGGAGGAGGGGCCTGCCAGCGACTGTGGGGCTGACAGGTAAGAGGTGTGCAGGGATGTGACCAGCCCACCTGAGACCCTGCAGAGTCCACCATAGAGAGTCTATGGTGGGTTCTGCCGGGTCACTCTCAGGTGGGCTGTTTGGGATCTCAGGTGGGCTCTGCAAGGGGCGTAACTAGGAATCATAAGGCCCTATACAAACTTGTGATTTCTAGTTACGCCTCTGCATGGAGCCATAGTTGCCTATGACGTATGTTGTACTACCATCTTACTAGTACTGCACAATGATTGTATCCTATTGCTCAGATAGGATACTGGGGTTACTGCACTAAAGAATTGTAAGCAGTTGAAGTGAATGTTAAAGTGGATCTTTACCCCATTTTACTAAATGCTAAATGCTTTATGCTGATATGAAATCATCTTACATTCATTGGTTAAACAAACATACATATATTTTTTACTTACAATTTCATTTTTGCACTTCCTGGCCCACTTTGGCACAAATGATGTAATCGTGCCCAAACAATGCATCCTGGGAAGGTTACATCAGCAGATCATTGCTGGGAAATCTCATCTGTAATCTCATGAGATCTCAGGGAAAAGCATTTTTCTCCCCTGAGATGATCTGCATGGTCACGTGTCCTAGTCACATGTGCCAGAGTTCCAGGAAGTAAATGGAGATGGATTCATCTTCCCTCAGTAAAAATGACCACAGTGAGAAGAATGGGGAAGAAAAGAGAAATAAGGTATTCAAAGAATAAAAAGCCGACAGTTATCTAGAAGTATGTGTTTGTAGCCTTTACTAAACATTTCTAAAGGTGCCTTCATTGTTATTTTAAAGATATGGGTAAAGTTCCTCTTTATCTTTGAAAAGTGTATGATCACTTTGCAGAATGAAATAAGGTGTGCCTGTGTTCACTTTGAATGCTCAATCAAGTGTTTGAAAAATAAAGCAGGAATTTTGCTAGCACATGATTGGTTAATTGAACTGAACACAATTTCACTTTATTAACTAAGTAAACATTCTCTTTGCTTAGTGTGCAGTCACTCCTCCTTAGTAGATCCTTCATTAAATCAACTCTCTTGACTCAAGGTGGCTTATCCTTCATCTCAGTGATTTGTTTATAAGCATCCTTATTAGACACACAGGGGTTGATTAATAACCTGTTCGCATGAGCGAATGACATTTGCAGTTTCCTATGCTCCTCAGCTCCATCTAGTGGCCATACAGCGCTGTGAATCTCTTTCACATAGCAAACAGCTGTGCAAACTGCTTATAAATAAGTCCCATAGAGTTAGAATTTACAAATATGCACATAAAATACAATCTTACAAACATGGCCCAGCAAGCAAGTAGTGGATATAACAATAACGTCACAAAATACAGACTTTCTTAATACAAAATAATTGCCCTATGAAAAAAAGTCCACGTTGTTGTTCCCAGCTGTAGTATCACATTGACACTTACAGGTACTTGACTGAGGCTTGCAGTTGGTATTTTCTTCTTCGTATATGTGCTGTTTGTGTTGTTTGCTGTGCTGCTGGTGGAGTTTTTCCTTTTCCGCCTTTTGGTGGTTGTCTGTCTTGTTGGTTCTGCTGTTGGGATATAAACATCAATGGATTACTGACAATTGTTCCAGGTGATTGTACAAGGCAAGCATCAATGATACCTCAAATGAAGAGGGGTTGACTTACTAGGGTCTCCAGGTTCCTGAGTAAAAGGTTCTGGTTATCAGCACATCAAGCAGGGATGTTCCAGGATCATGTAAAACCCCCTCTCCTAGTGTAAAAACATTTTAATAAGAAGTAGAATTGATCTGACATGGTAACTCCTTATTAAAATGTTTTTACACAAGGAGAGGGCGCTGTCCATTTTTTGTTTTACATGTTTTATGAGCATGGTTCCCGATGGCCTTGAGGACGGCAGCCCCTTCCCTGTACGTTGATGTTAAAGAACACCTTGCTGTGATGCACATCATGTTCCAGGATCAGGCAGAATGCAGATGAAAGTGACTGGGTTTGGCTGGTGCAAAACCCTTTAAATAAAATACACAAAGGAACAAGCCCCCCCC